GCATTTATTTTAAAGCCCCAGCTCCTGGGGTCATGTAAATATGTGAGATTCTCACCTTTCCTTTTAACTAAGTGAATGTATCATTCCTTTCCATCAATGTTGCAGAGTGAAGCTCGAACTAAAGGTACAGAATGCAAAAAACAAATACAGAGAAGACAATTAGTATTGCATACAACTTAGAATCCCTGTGATTTGTGGGGAGAGCCTTATGCCATTTGACTGCTTGGGCTGGTAATGTTGCTTCCCATATGGTCTTTGATTCCAATGCAGTCCCTACTCACAGGTGGAGGGAAGTGTTCCATACCAGCAGTAGCCACTAGGGGTCAGCATGCGTCCTGAGAATGTTGGGAGCTCAGGTTTGAGGCAAGACTAATCTGCTGACTGGTGTGGAGATGTGACCATCATCTCAGCTTCCTTCTGACCATGACCTGAGGGGCCTGGTCTCTGCTCTATTCCCCACCCTCCCAAAAAAAGGGAGAGCCCAGAGGGATCTCATCAGGTGAAAATAGCAGAGGGATTGTTCAAGCAAAACAAGCCCTAGATCCCTTTCTGCACCAGCCGCTGTCCCTGGGGTGAGGGGGATTCACTTTCCATTCCAGCCTGGTTCCCTCTCACATCTGGAGTTCAGCCAAGCAGTGACTCCTCCACTACCCCTCCCCCTTCCCTTGCGGCTGGGACGCCAGAGCTCTTATTCTGAAAGAATCTCACTGAAACCTGAGGCCACATTTCCCTCCCACCCCACTGACTGGCCTCCTTCTTTTCCCAGACTGCTTGGAACCCTTCACACCACACACAGCCCCAGCCATCAGAAATCCCTGCTCTCTGTCGCCTCTTTGCAGAAAGATCTGGGCTTCCATTCTCCTGTGGATGAGTCTCAGCTTTTCCACACCACCCCGCAGCACTAGCCCAGCTGAGAGGCACTCTCACTGAGCAGTAGGGAGCAGCACAGAGAGGCAAGTCTGGGCCTCCCACATGGCAGCATTGGGAAGGAGCACTAACCTTTAGAAGGCACCAAAACCAGCTGTGCAGAGCTCCCAGTCCCCAGGGCATGAGAGAGAGGGCTGGGGAATGGAAGCTGGGTACCGCATGCTTTGGCACCTGGGTGCAAGATGAATGTGGGCAGTAATAAGGAAACACAATGCAGCAGGAGCTTTGGCCACTTTTATTTCTTGTTTTAATTCCAAAGAGTGTGTGAGGATGGAGGGGAGGGAGAGAAGTGGGGGCAGATTCGGTAGCTTTGGCCTTGACTGTTGTGAAAGTAGTTCTGTCCAAAGGGGGTAGTGCTCAGTGCTGGGAAGGAGTTCTGGTTACTTCACTTTCTGGAAGATCTGTACACAAATCTCATCTTCTGCTGTCATGCGCTGGGAAGAAGAAAGGGAGGGAGGGAGATAAAAGGGGAGACTTGAGGCATCTCTGCCAGGGCTTCTCAGTCCCAACCCACAGTTCCCATGTTTTCCAGCCGTGGGCCTAGCTCCTTCCTCCCTCTCCTCCCCCAGCTCCACCAATGTCCCTCCAAATCTGACCCGCAGCAACCCCCCTGTGACTGCACCTCTGCCAGCTGCATGTGGTTCTGTCAGTGCCCCACAGTCCTAACCCCCAGCCGCTTTGTCATTGCACTCCTGCCCCCATGCCGCTTTGCCACTGCCCCAAAGCCCATACCCACAGCATCCTTGGTATTGCACTCCTGCCCCTCACCCTGCAGCTCTGCTAATGCTCCATAGCCCTACCCCACAGCCTCCCTATACTTCCAGTTTCTTCTTTGTGCCTGAAGAGGTTTTGGTGTCACACAGAGGAAACCTTGTGTCTGATTCATCTCTTGCCTTTTCCTCTCACAAGCCCCAGGAGCACTGGTGGAATTGCAGGGCAGGGCAGGGACATTGGCCCATTCACGCTGAGCTCAGCCAAGTCAACTTTTGAACTCTGCAGAAGGATGTTTGTGTGAAGTGGCCGTTGCCCTGGTGAAGCCATGCATAAAGTATGGGGCCTAGCTTGAGGTCCGCTGGGGTGGGGGCGGGGACGCAGAGACGATCATCCCATTCTGAGCCTCTGGCACACCCGGCCTAGGGAATCCCCTGAGACTACCTTCTCTGGGGTGTTAGCCAGCTCCTTCTCACCAAATGCAGATGGTCCCCCTCCAGCCAGTGCCTCCAGCCCCGGTTTCTCTTCTCTCCTTGCTGCTCACACACCAACTGATCCCCTTCCCAGGAGACGACTGTCTGAAATGGGTTGGGGAGAGACAGGCAACATGGTCAGGCATGGGAAAAAGCCTTGTCTACTTCTTTGTACTGTCACCATTCCACACTACCTCACTACCTGCCCCTCTTTCTGAAGCACATTTTCAAATGCAGGTCTTGTTGTGAAGGGTTTTTTCTTTGTTATGTTCCTAACTTTAGACCCCTTAGTCTGGCTTTCATGTCTGCTGATTAACTTCAGCATCTTATAAAGTCAGACATTTCATGACACGTGATGAATCCGTTCCAGGGGATAAATCATTTGCATTTCTGACTTATTTCAGGGTATTACTGCTTGGGACAGATTTTAGGATAGTTGGATACTGAAACTTTAGACGGCTGGGCTCTATGCTCCTCACCCATATACATCATGAAACCTGAACACATCAGCTATTAACCCAGCAGACCCAACATAGCTCTGAGCTGGATTCAACTCTGGCTCCTGCATCAGAAACAGCATTGTTCTGGTTATTAAACAAAGCCCTCGCCACTGTCCTTGGTCAAGATGCCTTGACATCACTGGTCTAGCCTTTTGGCACTCTCACCTGGCACTTGCGTCCATCCACTGGCCCCAGGTCCTCTTCAAACTCCTTCCCCAGGTCAAAGTCCATGATGTAGTTGCGCAGTGAGGTGATTGTGCGGATGGTCATGTGATCTCCAGTGTGGATTATCTCCTTGTCAGGTTTCAGGAGGCAAACCAGTTTTCTCAGGGCCACATTAATGTCTAGGTGGGATGAGGTGGAGGGAACATGTAATGGGGTGTTGATAGTAGTGAACTTCATTTCTCTGCCTTGGTTCCCTCGCTACATTCTCCTCAGGCTATGTCTAGACGACAAAGTTTTTCCGGGATACCAGAAGTATCCCGGAAAAACTCCACCGCATTCATGGAACGCGTCTGCCCTTTCACTTTCTTTTTGTGGACAAGCAGACGTGCTCTTTTGGAAGCCCTGTCTTCCTCCTTCCATGAGGAAGAAGGGCTCTTCTGACAAAACTATCAGAAAAAGGTATGCAAATTGCAGAGCACCATTCGCATACCTTTTTCTGATAAAACCCCATAGTCTAGACATAGCCTCAGTGACCATCACTACCCCCATCAATATAGCTCATTCCCTTCTCCAAGAAGGCTCCACCTCCTGCACTCACACTGCCCACCCCTCCTGCACAGACGGGTGACTGTGCAAAGCTCCACAGCCAGGTCATAGTCGGAAAGCTTAGGGCCAGAAAGGCCCATCAGATCATCTGCTCTGACCTCGTGTATATCACAGGCCCCCAACACTCATACAGGGAACTGGGCAGCCAAAATGAGAGCATTCCACCTGCCAGGGGACTGAGCTGTGCGTGCCACAGGCAGGGATGGAGGTGCACTTGTGCTTGTGTCTGAGTCCCAACTGCGGCACAGGAGCAACAGATGTGAGAAATACCTGGGAAATCCCAGCATGCTGCCCACATGCTGTAGAGGAAGCAACTCCTCCCACACACATAAGTTCACTGTCAAAATGGCCTGGGGAAAGGTTCCTTCCTGACCCCATTTAAGGTCATCAGTTGGGCCCTGAGCATATGAGCAAGACCCAGCCAGCCAAGCATGTGAGAGAGGATGATCAGTGCCACCTCAGAACCCTCCCCCATCCCACCCAATGTCCCATCTCCAGCTATGGCCACCTCTGCTGCGCCAGAGGAAGGAGACAGAAAAGCCCCGCGCCCCAGAACACAGCGGGGAGAGGAAGAATCTCTGCCGGTGACTGGCCCAACCCCTGAAGCATGAGAGCTGAGGAAGATCGACATGAACATGAGCGGGGAGCCCTGCGCTCCACCCATCACACAATCCCCCTCAATGTCTCCAGGCCGCTCTGAACCCCCAGCGCCCACAGGCGGCACCAAACTCCCCTGATGCTTAAAGTCACAGACAGAGGGACAGGCGGGGTAGAAACCCCAACCCGCTTGAGGTGCCATCCCTGGGGAGGGAGGGCAAGGAGAGGAGGGGAGCGGCCGGGGAAGGGTGCGGTTACCTAAAGCCCGGAGGTAACCGTCCATGTTGTCTTGGGAGACGAATCGATAATAGCCGGTCAGATTGGGAGGCATCGTAGGGCAGATGGGCAGACGTGATGGATGAAACGAGACAAGGGGAACAGGGGAGATGAGACCGAGATGAGCTGGGACCTTGGTCTCCCCCTCTGGGCCGGCCCCTTTCCTGCTTGCTCGCTTCACTCTCCCTTAGGGGGCGGGGAAGGGGGAGTTGATAAGGCAGCCCCACGGACAGGCGTCTTGCTGCCGTAAGAGTCCCCTGGTTCCTCACCGGGGAACACGCCGCGGCTGGGGCTGGCTCTGTTCCGGGCACCTCCGCTTCAGTGTGGACAGGCCGGGGAGCAGCGATCGGCCGTAGACCAGGCTGAGCTTCCGCAGCCTTCCACTCCGGCGCTTTAAACTCCCGGGTGCTAACCGGAAAGCGCTCTGCTCTGGCGTCTCAGCGACATATTCGGTCAGAGTGAGCTTCCCCACAGCAGTGCCCTCAGCGTTCAACCCAGAGACACCCCCCCGGCAGCTGGGAGCTTCCCCACAGCAGTGCCCTCACTGTTCAATCGAGGGACACCCCGGCAGCTGTGAGCTTCCCCACCGCAGTGCCCTCAGCGTTCAACCCAGAGACACCCCCCCGGCAGCTGGGAGCTTCCCCACAGCAGTGCCCTCATTGTCCAAACGAGGGACACCCCAGCAGCTGTGATCTTCCTCATAGCAGTGTCCTCGCTGCCCAACCCAGACATTTTGGCAGCTGTGAGCTTCCCAGCAGCGCCCCACCCTGAGAGACACCATAATAGCTGTGAGTTTCATCAAAACAGTGCCCTGTCACTGCCCTTTCCGTGAAAGACGCTGCACTTACTCCCTAGCAGGTTGCGCTTCATGACTGTTATGCCCCAGCCAGCTGAGTTGGGGACCACGGAAAAGCGGAGGACCAGGGACCCCCACGTGCTACTGCTACCCTGCTGTTCTGGCTCCTCCGGGCGCAGGTGCGCCCCGCCCCGGCCTCCACGCACAGCTCCCTGCAGCTCTGCCATTGCCTCTGAGCCCTGCCCTGTGCAGCTCCCCCCCCCCCATTTCAATCCAGCGCCCCGCAGAGCCCCCCGCCAGGGGCGCGGCACTATCTGTGTGGCGCAGGGAGTGGGGAGCGGAGAGCCCATGGATCCCAGCTGAAAAGCCTGTGTAGGATGGAGCCCCCGCCCCCTGGCTCTGCCCCTCCAGCCTCCTTCACATTGCAGCGAGGAGGAGACTGGCTCCCACTCGCTGCCCCCCTTCCCCCTCCCCTCCCGGCCCC